CCATTTCTTTGTCTTCTCCCCTGGTCCTTTTCTATAGACCCTTAGGATATGGTCGTGTTTACCCGTTATGGTCAAGATGTACTCAGCAGCGGAGCTTCTTGGTCTGCGAGACTCCCCCCTCTCACAGGCTTGGCCCTCCACTTTATCGAGGGCCTACCTCGATGACGGGCTTTGGAACCCCAAGAGGTGGCATGCCACAAAGAGGGGCTGCGGGGTTTTTTAAAATTGTCTCTGTTTAAACTTTTAAGGGGTCTGGGGAGGGGGGAGGAGGGTTGGATAGGAACTAGGGTTGTGGGTTTGGGGGATAACCCATCAAGGGGAGGGTCAAACCAGGCCATGATGCACGGCGGGGGGTGAGGGCGGATCCGGGGGTAATGGGGGGGGTGTCAAGCTTGTCCAGACTGTGTTTCCATCATTGGTACTCTGAGTGGGAGGGGTAGATATGGCGGGAGCAGGGGACCATATCATGTTAAGGGAGCATGCACCCGCTGTCTTCAAGCGGTAGGGCGCTCCGGCCCCCAAAGCTCTACTCGTTTTCCAGGTTGCACAGACCCTCAGGGCCTGGGCCTTCGACTGATGTTGTGCAACACCAGGTCTGTAGTAAATAAAGCTCCCCTCATTTGTGATCTTGTTCAGGAGGGGGGAGTGGACCTGGCGGGTATTACGGAGACCTGGTTGGGTCTGGAGGGAGGGGTCCCTCTGGTAGAAATGTGCCCACCAGGCTTCCACGCATTCCATCAGCCGAGGCCACAGGGGAGGGGCGGGGGAGTAGCAGTTATTATTAGAGAAGGCCTTAGGCCAAGGGAGACCACTGTTCCTCAGACGGCCGGTTGTGAGTCCCTCCTTGTGAAGTGGGGCCATGGGGTTCAGATGGGTTTGCTGATCACGTACCTGGCTCCCTGCCACGTGGCTGCAGCCCTGCCCGAGCTACTCAACGTTATCGCCACGGTGGTGGTTGATACTCCCAGACTTATGGTCATGGGGGATTTTAACCTGCCGTCCGTGGGTGAGGCGTCTGAGGTGGCTCGGGAGTTCATAGCTTTCATGACGGCCATGGACCTGACCCAGCTAATTCATGGCCCTACGCACATGGGGGGGAAACACACTGGACTTGGTTTTTGTCTCTGGACAGTGGTTGAATGATCTTGAGATAGGGGACATAGTCATCGAGCCCTTGTCATGGTCAGATCACTCTCTCCTTTGCCTTGACCTTCGAACTGCGGTACCCTGCCGCAGGGAGGCAGAACCAGTAAAATGGTACCACCCCAGGCGCCTGATGGAACTGATAGGTTCCAGATGGAGCTTGGGACAATCCCCAAGGATCTCGCTCTCACCTCGACTGGAGACCTAGTGGCCGCCTGGGACAGGGCGGCCACTGGAGCTCTGGATTGAGTTGTGCCTTTGCGGCCTCTGACCCGGCGCCGATCTCACCTGGCTCCTTGGTTCATTGAGGAGCTGAGGGAGATGAAGCGCCGGAAAAGACACCTAGAGAGTAGTTGGAGGGCTAGTCTTTCTGAATCCGACCAGACACTGGTAAGATCTCATATTAAGAATTACCTAGTGGCGATAAAAGCAGCAAAATGTACCCATTTTGCTGCTCTTATTGCATCATCAGATAATCGCCTGGCCGCCCTGTTTAGGGTGACCTGCTCCCTGCTCCACCAGGAAGCGCGGGAGGACCCCTTGGAGGGAAGAGCCGAGGATTTTGTTCAATATCTGCATGACAAATCACTCAGATTTGGGAAGGTCTGGACTCCGACTGGGTAGGTCCAGCGAGGGTGACGGAGGCAGGTCTTGAGAATGTTATCTGGGATGAGTTTGATCCTGTGACCCCAGATGACATGGACAGGGTTCTGGGTAGACTGAACATGACCACATGTTTGTTGGACCCGTGACCCTCCTGGTTAGTGCTGGCTTCCCGGGAGGTGACGCGAGGCTGGCTCCAGGGGATTATAAATGCTTCATTGGGTGAGGGTGCCTTCCCCGCCGCCTTGAAGGAGGCGGTGGTGAGGCCTCTCCTCAAGAAGCCCTCCCTGGACCCGGCAATATTGGCTAATTATCGTCCAGTCTCCAACCTTCGCTTTATCGCGAAGGTTGTTGAGAGTGTGGTTGCGCGACAGCTTCCCCAGTACCTGGATGAAACGTCATATCTGAATCCATTCCAGTCGGGTTTCAGGCCTAGGTACAGCACGGAAACGGCATTGGTCGCGTTGGTTGATGATCTCTGGAGGGCTCGGGACAGGGGTTGCTCCTCTGTCCTGGTCCTGTTAGATCTCTCAGCGGCTTTTGATACCATTGACCATGGTATCATGCTGCACTGGTTGGAAGAGTTGGGGGTGGGAGGCACCGTACTACGGTGGTTCTCCTCCTTTCTCTCCGACCGGTCACAGTCTGTGTTGACAGGGGGGCAGAGGTCGACCCCGAGGCCCCTCATATGTGGGGTGCCACAGGGATCAGTCCTCTCGCCCCTTTTGTTCAACATTTATGTAAAGCCGCTGAGTGAGATCATCCGTGGTTTCGGGGTGAAGTACCATCAGTACGCTGACAACACCCAGCTGTACATCTCCACCCCGGACATCCCAACGATGCCCTTGAAGTGATGTCCCAGTGCCTGGAGGCTGTACGGATCTGGATGGGGAAAAACAGGCTCAGGCTCAACCCATCCAAGACTGAGTGGCTGTGGTTTCCGACATCCCGATATAGTCAGCTGGTGCCATCGCTGACTATTGGGGGCGAATCATTGGCCCCCAAGGAAAGGGTGCGCAACTTGAGCCTCCTCCTGGATTCACGGCTGTCTTTAGAAGAGCACTTGACGGCCGTGACCGGGAGGATTTTTCATCAAGTTCGCCTGATCCCCCAGTTGCATCCCTTTCTAGATCGGGACTCTCTACACACAGTCACTCATGCCCTCGTCACCTCTCGTCTGGACTATTGTAATGCTCTCTATATGGGACTCCCCTTGAGGTGCACTTGGAAGCTCCAACTGGCGCAGAGTGCAGCCGCGCGGGTGGTTATGGGAGCGACGTGGATTTCCCATGTAACACCTCTCCTGCGCAAACTGCACTGGCTCCCGGTGGTCTTCCGAGTGCGCTTCAAGGTTCTGGTTATCACCTTTAAAGCGCTCCATGGCTTAGGACCTGGTTATTTATGGGGCCGCCTGCTACCACCAATAGCCTCCCACCGGCCGGTACACTCCCATAGAGAGGGGCTCCTCCGGGTGCCGTCAGCCAAACAATGTTGAGTGGCGGCCCCTAGGGGGAGAGCCTTCTCTGTGGGGGCACCTACAATCTGGAACGACTCCCCCCGGAGATACGGATGATCCTGGATCTGCGCACCTTCCGTCGCGCGCTTAAGACTTTTTTATTTCATCAAGCTGGCCTGGCCTAAATCTTCTCCCCTTTTTAAATGTAAATTTTGTTTTAAATTATGGGGTATTTTAAATTCAGCCAAATTATTTAATTCGTTTTTAATTTATTTTAAATTTTTGTATTTATGTGTTTTATCTTGTGGCTGTTCACCACCCTGAGTCTTTCGGGAGAAGAGCGGTATAGAAATTTAATAAAATTAATAAAAATTAATAAAATTAATATTATTAATTGTGAATATATATATACGCATCATTTCCCCCTCCTTTTGGAAATATATGAGAGATCTCTTCATCTGCAGGGATGTAACTCTCATTATTCCTTCAGAGGAGACCCCTTCCAGTATCTACTGTCAAATAAACACTGGAGTAAGGCTAGATTGTTAGTTTGGTATGGGGGTTTCCATCCTTGGCAATGTTAAGACTTGTGGACGTCAACTCCCAGAATTCCCCAGCTACCCATGGTGGCTAGGGAATTCTGGGAGTTGAAGTCCAGAAATCTTAACTTTGTCAAGTTGGCCACCCCTGCTTTGAGTCTTGTGTTTTGATTCCATGTTTATGCTAGAAAAATACTAAACCTACATTCAAAATCAACCTGAACAATAGGAGATAAACACAAGCAAATTTCAACATGGAGAAGGAAAGAGAGAGAGGTTGGGATCCAATCTGGGATCCGCCTTGGAGACTTAGAGGTATTATGTATGTAAATTAGGCCTGGTTACACCAATAATTTGGCAAATTAATTCTTTTTCTAATGAAAAATTAGTTAATTAGAATGTAGCAATGCATCTAAGAACAAGATGTGTTATTTAAACAAAGGTAACAACACCATGAGTTATACCCATGCCAATAAGACTAGATGCTCTTAAAATTGCTGGTTACAAACTATAAAATTTCAAATAGAATTGATCTTCCTTATCATCCTGATATCACAAACTAAGGATACTGCTTTAAATAATACAATTTAATTAAAGTCAGACTGAAACTCTAAAGGAATGTACTTTGGAAGATTGACCCCAAAAAAACCTTCTGTCAAGGCTCCTACTAATGAAACCAAGCAAATCAGAACCTGAGACTTGGCTCTTTCTCAAAGGTCTTCTTTAATGAGTACATCATATCAGCATAGCTTCAATGGAAAGCCAAATCTAAATCTTTCCCACGGTTTCAGTATAATTAAATTAGGAAATAACCCCATCCCCAAGTGTCACAGGTCATGCTGGCCAATTGAGTTAATTGGCCGGCTCTTCAAGCTCTCCTTCCCCAACCTTATTGGTTGCCAATAGAGATGACCTTGGTTCTCATGAGAAAGTTCTTTGTTGTGTCTAGTAATGCATTCCAACCTCCTTCCCCCACTTCCGCCTCTGTTGCTTAATAATAAATGTTGCTTAATAATAAAAGGTCTGAAAATTTGATCCTTGTTACTTAACTCAAAGATTTGAAGAGAGAAAAAGCTCTGAGTGCTCGGAAGGAACCGTTTTCTTTATTTAACTCCCATCCCCACTCTTTTTAATATTGTTGGTGGGATATATATCTAATTAAAAAAATTGCAAAGACTTGTTCAATAAAAAGAGGTCTGAGTATTTGGTCCTTGTTTCACTCAAAGAATTGAAGAGAGAAGGAGAAAAAACTCCAGGTATGAAGCTTGGAAAGAACCATTTTCTTTATTTAACTTCTACCCCCAATCTTTTTAATATTGTTGATAGGATACACATGTAATTCAAACAAAGAGTTTATTAATTAAGAGACATCAATTTCAATCCTAAATTCTCTGGCCACATTTCTGATAAAAACTGAGTAGATGCTACACAATTTTCTGTCCAGAGTCATGAATACATACAACAGCATGGAACAAATTTTCCCAAACTGCAACCCATAAACCACAATAAATAAATAGAAATTAAGCTGCTCGCTGGGTGCTTAAGTCTGAGTTTTCAAGTTTCCACAGTTGGTTTTAAGATATGAATGAAAGTGTCTCCACTCTGCCTGGAGAAGCCAGACTGCAATCCTGTTGGGGCCGTAGCTTTGTCTGTGAATGCCAATGCCAATCCCTACCAGATACACTTCAAATTTTCCTTCTTACTCTGCCTGAATAACCTAGATTTTCCAGGCAGTGCAGGAAAAATGTGACAGGTTAACTAGACAATTTAACAACCTCATGAGCCTGGGATACAGAAACCTCTCCCCCACACTCCTACTCCAACTTTTCCCCCCAAGTTTGGATTGAAATAATGGATTCTTCCTGTGTGCAAAGAAAAATGGTCAAGGTGATGAGAATAGTGTGGGCTGTCACCAGCCTGATGGCTAATACAGTAGTCCTCGACTTACAACAATTTTTTTAGTGACTGTTCATAGTTACCACAGCACTAATAAAAGTGAACAAAATTTGGGTGTTTGGCAACTGGCATGTGTTTATGATGGTTGTAGCAACATTTGGAAGTCATGTGATAACCATTTGCAATCTTCCCAGTTGGCTTCTAGCAAACAAAGTCAACCCAAGAAGCTGGATTCATTTTTACTGCATGATTCGTTTAACAATTGCAGAGATTTATAAGAGCTGTGGCAAAAAACTTGGGTGTGACTCACTTAACAACTATCTCACTTAGCTACAGAAATGATGGTCCCAATTGTGGTCATAAATCAAGGATTACCGTGTGGTGGGCTGATCCCATGGCCTCAGAGGTCACTTGATTGACAGTGATGAGATGCTTGGTGAAGTGAGTTAAACTTCATCCACAGCAAAACAGTTATAGTTTATGGCTTGTTTGATGGGGAAAATGCTATTTTAACTCCCAATCTGCTAAGGATGATTTAAGGATACCTGTCTCAGGAATGGGTTAGAGATGAGATGAACGGAATGTCATGAAGATCTGGCAGAAAGAACTTGTTCACATCCAGATTATATCTAAGTGGGGCCTTTGATAAATTGGTAGAAAGAAACATAGTCACAGTGATCCAAAATTAAACTTATCTGGTACAAAGCAGCCTCTTTGAAAACCGTTAGGTTGTTTAGCCACTGATCAATCTACCAATACATTTCTCCCTACTTCAATCTCCCTCGCTTCCTGATTTTTGCATGTCAAGCTGTGGTCAAATGCAAAAGGATTTGCACTAAATTAGTAGCCCCATTTCTAATTGTTTGGATGGGTTGTTCTAGTTTCACACTGAGCACTGGCACCGCTCCCAGCATGGCGCCACACCCCCTTAATCCCATACCGTCATGGATGTGAAGCAGCTGAATTGATTCTCCTCAGCTCAGCTGTACTGCAGTTCCAATAGCAAAATTTCATTTTTGCACCATCGGAGCTCCTTTGGACCCCTGCCAGTCCCCACCCACCCCCGCTCTTTGGCTCCCTCCCCAAAGCTGCTAAGCTGCCATTGTGCTCCGGGATATCCTGGCATTGGGCTTTCGAGCAGCTTTACAAATAGCGACCTGCTTTTTAAATAATGCTTGTTGTTGCTTTCCTGCTGCAAAAATAACTGGGTGTGAGGCCAGGCTGGGGAGAGGGGCACCCATTTTGGCATTGCTTGTTTAGCCAGCTAGAAGAAATACTGCTTAGCCACTGGCTTATTCTGGCTTCAATGTAGTAGCCTTACAGCTACAATTTAAAAAATCTGCCATTCACAGACCACATTACTGTATCTTTAAACCTGAATAAGAAGGTGGATGATTTCACATTGCTCTGTTGAATTCCCCTTGTAGGGGAATCCAGGTTAAAGGGAAAGCTGGTGGTTGCTTAGAAGCAGGTCTTTTTGTGACAAGTTGTTTCCTTGCTATGCAAAACTCTGCAGAGACCAAAAAAAGAGACCAGGGCACTGTTTACATCCCAGCATGTAACTGGAGAGGCCCCAGAGCAGAACGAGAATAACTGAGGAGAGAGTCGTAAGCGTTAGCTGGAGGACCCTTGCCGTGGGACGCCCTGTCCCAGGACTGAGATGCTGACAAGGAGGAATAGAAGCTGAGCTCTTTGCATCTTGCGTAAGGCCAGCTGGAGAAAACCCGTATGTAATTTTGTGCCTTGACATTTTCCCCTCCTTCTGTAATCTCACAAGACTACAGACCTCTGCTTTTCACGCCCCAATCCCTAGGGCCTTTGCTAGGCCTCAGCCCTAAACAATGAAGAAAAGTCTCTTAAAAGGACTTGTTTGCATTATATTTCACGTAGATTGATTTAGATTGTCTTAAAATGACTTGGAGATACAACAAATAGATTCAAAACTGACTTTTAAAAGACTGCATCATCTAAATTAATATGTGATGGAAAGTATGCAGGGATGCTGGCATATTATATTAGGTAAATAATAATAATAATAATAATAATAATAATAATAATAATAATAATAATACACCACCTGAACACCATCATCATTGACAAAATCGCTGTCAATCAATTGCAAAAGGCAGCTTTACATGGAACAGTTTACTGTATATTTTGGGTTGATACCTTTAATACCTTCACATCTGCCTATATCACACCCTTGGGAGGGACTCGATAGATGGATAAAGATGCCAAATCCAGTCTAAATATCTGGCTGACTGTATGATGATAAATAATAACAACAAAGCCTAGCTATTGGTCCAATGTTGTGATTGAAATTCCTCTCACTTTTTTTTAAAACAGCAGAGTTTAAATTGCACTGCTGTTTTTGATCATATCTTGCAGACACCTGACCGCAGCTGAATATTTAATGGCTTCCAGTTGTGCCCCAGAATACAGTTTCAAATTAATTCACTGTTAATATCGTCCTATCAAAGAACTTCAATATATGGTTAAAAAAAATTCTGGGAAAACAATTTTTTCCCGTTTTCGGAAAGTTTTGACTAAAAATTGATGAAATCTGGTCTAGCAATTCAAGAAAAAAGAAATTATTTCAATGAAACAGCCTATCCCCTTGAATTGTTCTGTAGAATCTTATTGATTCTGCTTTCTGCACCATCTGTAACGGCGTGATTTACCACAAATACCATCCACTATGATGGTGTCCTTCAAACATTTATTTAGTTTTGCAAAAAACAGAGTAGGGCTCTGGGAAACAAAAAGGCATGATTTCCTGTCCCCCACCCCAAATAATTTTGCCACCCATCTCCCCCATTCCCCAATTACAGCAAAGCAAAGCAGGGTAAAAGAAATGGGAATGGTCCTTCCTGTCTCCATAAAAACAGAGGTTATCTTTGGAACAAATTAAGGCAGTGAAGAGAAACATCATCCATATGTCTTTATTTCTTATTTCGGTGTTTCTCAACCTTGGCAAATTTAAAATGGCTGCACTTCAACTCCCAGAATTCCCCAGCCAGTATGGCTGAAAAACTCTGCCTTCCTTCATCAGAGCAACTTGGCTTGCAATCCTTTCCAACATTGTTGCATTAATCCCTGTCAATCCTAGGCAATATGTGGATTTTGAGGAAAATCAGCACAAAATAGCAAAGTCCAATAGAGGTTTCTTAGTGGCTTATTTCTACACCATAGTCACAGGTGTTTTAAAACAGTCTTTCTTAATTTCAGCAATTTTCAGCTGTGTGGATTTCAACTCCCCAGAATTCCCCAGCTCATATGACTGTCTCCAAGTGCCTTAAACCACCATCATATCAAGAAGATAAAACATTGTCACTGGAGAGTGGCTATGGTGTCTAGAGCAGACAAAGGATGCTGGTTAGGCATATAAATTTATGTTGTAAACCTGTAGCTGCTTGCAACTTTCTCTCCACTTCCCTTCAGAAGTTATTCTTAAATCAAGAAAGTTCCTGCTATAAGTGGTTTCCCTACACTCTCTGTGTGTGCCTTCTCTGAGCAGAGAACTGCAATTCATGTTAGTTTATCAGTTGGACTCTGCTCCTAGAAGCATTATTCACTGGAAAAGTTTCAAGAGATATATTTTTTATATATGATACTTAATTGGGGGGAGAAAAAATGAGTTTTGAATTTTCTGCCTATCCATTGATTTCGCTAGTTAATCTGGCAGGATGCTGGATGGAAATTCATCTGAACAAAAATCTTGTGAATCCTTTTCAGGTTACCCAAATGGTAGGTTAAGAATTTACCCGTGGTTTGGAAAGTTAGGTTGGTAACTGCAGTGTCTCCCCATCATTCTCAAAGGACCTAGCTAGAGACCATATTTTTGGGTGAATCCTTTGGATATGCAAAAAAGGAAAACATGTAAGCCAAATTGCAAGATTCTTTTGTTCTTTTCATGCTCTTTCAACTTTCCAACAGAAGAACTGTAATTTTTGTTCTGGGCGAAACTTGGCTAAGGTGGGAAATTGACACGAGATTTTGTTGTCTGACCTCGAATTTAAAAGACTTTCAAGATACAAGTCCTCTTGTTGAGCTAAAAATATCTATTTATAAAAACTGGGTTTTAAATACAGGCCTCCCTCGATTTGTTAGTGTCTCAGTTCACTAACACAGCTGTCCCTTGTTTATCAATGGAGCCCTTTTTTTGCAGTCCCCCCTCCCTTGCTCCCCCACCCCAAATTAAAACAAGACAAGCACAACTGGTTCTATTTACAAGTCACAAAATAGGGAAGAAAAGTGTGTCCAGTAGCTGGAGAAATAGGGCAGGGGGTAGAATGGGGAAGATTGATTCTTTCCGCCTCTGTGTGTAAAGGTTGCAGAATGAAAGTTAGAGAGACTTTGAATTTTCCTCCAACATTAGGAGGTTTGGTCACTGGTGCTTCTCTTTCTGATGCAATATTCCCAAGGCTTTTTGGACAAATCTGGGATAGACAATAGGATGAAGCAGGCTCCCCCAAATATCAGAATTGCCCCTGCAGACACTGCACAAGCCACAGACCAGGAATACTCATATTCTAGTGGGATGGTGTCATTGGAGGTGATAAGCCATCGGACCGATTGTCGGAAAATCTCCAAAGTAACCAACACCATCAATCCTGGAAGGGAAACAAAAGAGAGGTGTAGAAGAGCAGACAAAGTTGGAGAGCAGAGTTAAATGTGTCATCAGTTTAGGATTCTTGCATTGTCACAAGAAATCCCAGGCCCCCCCTCAAGAATTCCATTGACCCATATCTAGTGCCAATTTAGTGCTGATCATTAATTTACTAGATTTTTGTCTATATGTTTGAATAAATCTTCCATGATGCAGCTTTACGAATGTTCTTGATTCCTTGGGCCTAAAAGGGGCAATGTTTTTCAAATGTGGCATTTTTAAGATGTGTGGACTTCATCTCCAAAATTTCCCCAAGACATTCTGGAAGTTGAAGTCCACATGTCCTAAAGTTGACAAGTTTGAAAAATCACTGATGTAGGATGTTATCCTTGAGATATTTCCAGCTATGAACCAAGGCCACAAACAAGCAGTATAGCGAGAGACACTGGATTAAGGTGGGCCACTTAGAAGAGTATTGTGTGGTTCCTTTTATCTATCCTTAGGTGGATCTGTGGCCTCCTTATGTTTTAAGGTAGAAATGTCCAGCCTTGGCAACTTTAAGACATGTGGACTTCAACTCCCAGAATTCCTCAGCCAGCCATGCTTGCTGGGGAACTCTGAGAGTTGAAGTCCACAGGTCTTAAAATTATCATTGGACAATTAAGTTTGGACACCCCTGTTTTAAGGAATATCACGGTTAAAAGAACATCTCCCATTCCTCCCATCCCACATATTTCAGGACAGAAAAGAAGATTCTGCAGAATCCATACCTGATATTATAAAGAAGCATGATGCTGGCTTCAGAAGGAATTCAACTCCTTTGCTCAGGGCCATTGTGATACAGAGGGATCCCATGGCCATCAAGGTAATGCTGAGGAGGGACACAACGGCTGCCGTGATGTTCAGTTCTATGCGGTGTTACCAAGCAGGGGAGAAAAAGTCATTTCGTTCCACCCAACATTTCACAGAGGAAAACAGGGGCATACTGGCAGGATAACTTGTGCCCTACCTCTGATGTAGCCAGCAAGAAATCATCAGTAACTAGATCAATGTTTCTCAACCTTGGCAACTTTTAAAATGCAGTCATAGCCCTAAACATTTCAATTAGCAGAACTCTGGGAGTTGACGTCCACGCATCTTAAAGTTGCCAAGGCTGAGAAATACTGGTCTAGAGTAGCTGCTTCCCTCTTTACATGTTGACCACCAAGTTATAATCCTGGTTAGCATGGCCACAGCCAGGCATAATTGAAGATATCAAGCTGGTGAAGGCCATTTTAGAACAATACACATTGGCATGAGTATCAAACATAAATATGATGCTCAGAGCTACAATGTGAGCAATCACTGGGTATAGCAAAGAAAGATGTGCCCTTAATATCAAAGATAATGGAAGAGAGAAAGCAGTGGAGACACAGGTCACATACCAGCAAATATACTCTATCCTCTAACTTTATCTTTATCTTTTTATCTTTATTTTTCTGCCTGCCTGCCTACCTTCCTCCCTACCTCTCTCTTTCTCTCTCTCTCTCCATCATCTCTCTCTCTCCATCTATCACCTATCTATTAGGTAAAGATTTCCCCTGTCTAGTTATGTCCGACTCTCAGGCGTGGTGCCCATCTTTGTTTCTTAGGTGAGGGAGCCAGCATTGTCCAAAGATACTTCCATGGTCATGTAACCAGTATATCTATATGCCAAGGTGAATGGAACACTGTTACCTTCCCACTGAAGTGGAACTTATTTATCTATTTGCATTTGCATGCTTTTAAATTGCTAGGTTGGCAGGAGCTGGTAAAAGTAACGGAGCTCACCCTGTCGCACAGCGCTTGGGTCTCAAACCCAGACTGTCAGCTTTCCACCTGCCAAGCTCACCAACTTTAATCATTGAGCTATCACATCCCCCATGATCTGCCTGCTTGCCTGTCAGCTTGTCCCTCTAATCTAATCTATCTCATCTGTCTATCATCCATCTATCTATCCGTCTTTTGAGGATATAATCATATTCCCCAAAAGATGAAGAGCTATTTCTTCTCAGTCCCAGCAACTTTCAGTGTAATTTCAGATCTTTTGAATAGTACCCTGGGAGCATTTTTCATGACCATTTAAAGATCTTTTTTGATTGAAAGCTGCAGTTGCAGTCCTAAAGGAAAGCTGCAGTGATTAACTGTTTGAGATTTTTCAAAAGTATAATGATTAAAAGAATGCCCAGATTTATTGGGTGGTAGAGTTCTTAAATTTAAACCATGAAAGGTGACAGAAATTCATTTCAACATAATTTGTAACTGGCTTATTGAATTGTGACTGTGCCATTATCAATTCAATGTTTTCTATAGTGAGGAGAGCTATTTATTTATTAAACAAATGCATATAGCCAACCAATTCACACACAGTGACTCTGGGCAGAGGCAATATTAAAGATCCTCAGTTAAATATTCACAATTTAACAATTTAACCCCCTTGCAGTCTTTAAGATTACAAGGTGTTAGTACATTTGTGCATAGGAGCATCAATAAATTTATCTTTGCAAATATTAAACACCAGTTCATTTTCTGATTAATGGTAATTATCTAGGCCTTTGCTTTTTTATGCTTTCCAAATGATTTGGACTTCCATTTCCATAGTCCTCAGTCAACATGTATGACAGTCCAAGAAATTATGGGTTTAGTCCAACACATCTGGAGGGCATTTAGGATGATTGCAACAAGAAATTTAGATGAAGCCAAGTTGGAAGGAAGCAGGATCTGCAGAACCTGAAAAACATAAAAATGTTTATTCCCCAAAAGGATTGTTGCATAGTATAAGAATTTAAACCGGAAACAGAATAACAGAATTGGAAGGGACCTTCAAGGTCTTCTAATCCAACCCCTTGCTCAAGCAGAAGACCTTATAGCTTCTCAGACAAGTGGCTATCCAGTCTCTTTTTAAAGGCCTCCAGTGATGGAGCACCCACTACTTCTGGCAAGCCTTTCCACTTATTAGTTGTTCTACCTGTCAGGAAATTTCTCCTTAGTCCTAAATTCCTTCTCTCCTTGATTAGGTTGATCCCCTCTTCTTTGTGGCAGAAAGATATTGGAGATATTGTAGATATTGGAACACTGCTATCATGTCACCCCTTCTTTTCACCAGACTAGATATACTCAATTCCTGCAACTGTTCTTAATATGTTTTAGCCTCCAGCCCCAAGATAGTTCACTAAGATAGATAGTGGGTATTTATGGAGAAAGACTTGAAGGTGTGCCATAATTGATCACAATCATGAGAACCATGAGCCAAACCCAGCAAATCAACAAGGGGGAGGGGGCACAAATTGGATCTGGCCTTTGCTTTGGGCAGTGACTACATGATCAGGATATTGCCACTTTTCCCTTATCACTTTGGAGTTTTCCATAGCATCCTTCCTCAGCAGAGAGGCCAAGGCTCTTTAATCAGCTCATCCCAAGGACTAGGTTTGAGAGGAAGTTTATGTTTTTTTCTGAGATTTTAATTAACATTTTCATTGATGTTTCAGTCACCATTTGGAATGAAGTGTGGCAGTAAAATCTCTGAGGGAGATGGGTAATTGAGAAATATGAAATACAAACAAACAAACAAAATTTTAGGTTGGATTGCAAGTATGCAGAATCTTTGCATGCAGACCTTCGGCATGTTGTGCCATTTCCCAAAGGTGCTTTTCCAGAAGATACCTGGACTTTCTTGCACTTTCTTTTTTCCCCAAAAGGCAACTGGACTTCAAGAAAGACTAGTTGCCTTTTGAAAAAAGCACCTTTGGGACAATGATGACCTGGATTATTGGGATTCTGTATAGATATTTGTTGTGGCTTGTGAATAAAGAGGATAAAGCAACAGAAGGGACACCTAGATCTGACTGGGAGAAAACTAAGAATGAATCTAACCAGACATAGCTAAAACCTTTTGTTAGAGTCTACTATGTGGTAATAAGGGTGACAAAAAAGGATTATTTCTCCACCCTTCTCTTCTACATATTGGCCAATAGCCCTATGCAGAGCAATCTAGACCCTTCTAGACACTGGAGCATCTGCAAAATCCCTATGAGTGCTATTTGACTCACCTGGTGGATAACATTGCTCAAATTCACTATGAGTTGGCCTTCAGCTACACAAGTCCTGAATAGGTGGCTGAAGCAGTCTTGTGATGTTATCATGAATAAGTTTGAGTCTGTTAGTCCTGAGAAAATGGACATGGTCCTTGGAGTTGTGCATGTGGTCAACTGTGTATTAAATCAATGCTCTTCCTGGTTGATTGAGACCTCTGGGGATGGAGTATGTGCAGGGATAAATGTGTCTTTGAGAAGTGAGATGGTTCCACTGGCTTTGAAAAAAGGTAGAGGTGTGCCTCTTCTTCAAGAGACTATCCTTGGATCTAGTTGATCTGGACAACTTTCATCCAGTCTCCAACCACAGGCTCGGAAAATGTAAATGTTAGCTCATACTCAAATTCTGGTTTGAATGGGAAGAACACTACATGTTCAATCCACATTAGAGCAGCCGGTTAGGATTGTGTCAATTATTTAAAGCAGGGTTTCTCACTCAGCAGCTTTAAGATGTATGCACTTCAATGCCCAGAAATCCCCAATCAGCCCACGCTAGCTGGAGAATTCTGGGCATTGAAGTCCATATATCTTAAATTTACTTAGATTGAGAAACACTGGTTTAGAGGGTTGCTTTTCAAGGCAGAGAAATGGCTCACCTCCTTTCTCCCTCTATTGAGCATGATTCAACATGATTAGTGAATAATAAACAGCCGATTCAACAAGAGAAACCCCTTAGAACAGCAGAAATGTGATGCTTTGTTCTTAACAGCGGGTTTGAGGAGGTGAAGCCCTCTCATCAATTCAGGTAGTTCCTCTCAAAACCTTGAATCAGCATATGAACCAAAAGCTTTCTACTTTCAAAAGTATGAGATGCAGAAGCTCTCGACTGACACACGCAGCTCCTTTCCTTCCTGTCACACAACATTTCAACCTGAATGCCTGCGATGGACTTACCCTTTTTTGTAGTCCTTAGGAAGATGTTGGCATTCTCGCCAGTGGTGAAGAATTTGAAATAAGAACAATTAGCTTCTGAAAAGAAAGAAAGCATTTAGCTCATTTGTCATTAAGTTATACCATAGGTAATCCTCGATTTACGACTGTTAAAAATTATGATGGCGCTGAAAAAAGTGACTTACAATTGGTCCTAGCACTTCCAACTATCACACATCCCTGCGGTCACGTCTCAATGGTCATATGATCAAAATTTAGGTGCTTCATAATTGGCATGTATTTATGATGGTTATATCATTCTGAGCCACATGATCATCATTTGTGTTTACCAAAGGGGCTTCTGACAAGTAGGGGGACGCTAGATTCTGACAAATGGGGGAAGCTAGATTTGCTTACCAACTATGGTAAAAAAGGTCTTAAAATCAGATATGACTCACTTATGTAGACAATTAACCAGTGGAAGAGGTTGCCTTCAGAAGTTGCAGGTGTTTCATCACTGGAGGTTTTTAAGAACAGACTGGACAGCCAGCTATCTGAAATGGTATAAGGCAGTGATTGCTAACCTTTTTGCTGTTGCGTGCCAAAAGCGGGGGGAGCGTGGGGGGTCGTCTGCACGCGTGCCCACAACCATAATTCAGTGCCCCCCACGCATGCGCATGCGACCCCCACACACACACGCAGCTCCCCCCGTTTTTGGCACATGATGGCCCGGTGGGCCCAGTAGGCACATTTTTTGCTCTTCCCAGGCTCCAGAGCCTTTCTAGGAGCCTGGGGAGGGTGAAAATGGCCTTCCTCAACCCCCCCGGAGGCCCTCCAGAGGCCAGAAATGTTCTGTTTGCCAACTTCTAATGGGCCTGGACGAAAATCATCTGGCGGAGCTGAGCTCGGGTGCCCACTGATATGGATCCACGTGCCACCTGTGGCACGCATGCCATAGGTTCGCCATCACGGGTATAAGGTCTCCTGCTTGAGCAGCAGGTTGGACTAGAAAACCTCCAAGGTCCCTTCCAGCTCTATTCTGTCTGATTGATTGTTGGTATCACTTGGCAACGGACAGCTGGACAGTTCCAACTATAGTAATAAATCAAGGACTAATTTACTATATTCTTCTTCCTCCTCCTCCTTTCTTCAAATCTTCTCAAACAAAATTTGTTTCTCATAAATCTCTCAATATTTCTTCCACTTTAGGTACTAAAACAATAAAACAAAACCTAATCTAAACATGTTTTTGTTTTCTTTCCAAATACTGGCTATATAGAATAGTTCTAGCAATGAAACTTGAAAATTGCCATGAATTTAAGAAAATCTTCCCAGGAAGTGCCCCTTTACTTTATCTGTGGAAACTTTTTGCCATCTTGTATAGACTACCATAAATCTCCCTCTGTAATCCTCTTTCAGTGTAATTCCTTTCGCCTGTCCAGTTGAACAGCCACACTCAGAGCTTTTTGTTGGACAGTACTGGAGACAGTTTCTGACATGAAATTTCTCCTCTGAAATAAAATCTCTTCCTCAGAGATCACAGAATTGCTGCCCTGGTTACTATTAATAATTTAATTACCTACACCATAACATACTATTTTTGTATGTCTTTCATGCTAAATAAATGTTGGTATACATCTTTGCCAAATATTCATGATACAAGCTTTAAATATCAAACATAAGCTGATAAATTAAAACAATGCACAAGATTACAAACATGTTTTAATTGAAGCTCTTTTAAAATAGGATAAAGGAAGGTTACATATTACACAACCAACTTGATTAGGTTTTATCTTTATAAGACCCAGAGGTGGGTTTCAGCAGGTTCTGACCAGTTCTGGAGAACCGGTAGTGGAAATTTTGAGTAGTTCGGGGAACCGGTAAATACCACCTCTGGTGGCTCCAGAGTGGGGTGGGAATGGAGATTTTGCAATATCCTTCCTCCAGGAGTGGGGAGGGAATGGGGAGTTTGCAGTATCCTTCCCCTGGAGTGGGGAGGGAATGGAGATTTTACAGTATCCTTCTCCTGCCACGCCCACCAAGCCACACCCACAGAACCAGTAATAAAATTTTTTGAATCCCATCACTGATAAGACCATTTAGGTTTTTGTATGTAATCACATGTGCTTTTGCTGCATTGTAATGAACGTTTCATGATAGGAAATATTTTTGTATCAAAATCCAGATTACAATTTAGATGCATCAAAGGTTGAATAAAAGAACTGTGGTTGGAAAATAACTTGTCATTATTTAAATATTATTTAAACTTTCACTGCAATGACTGTTTGTTAGGATATTTAAATTTAGTAGCTGGAACAGTAAAGTGTATAATGGGCCAGCACAGACAGTTGTAGATGATTGATTGGAGAGTGTGGGATCCTGCATGAGGTAATCTACACTATGATTGGTTGCTGTGGGTGTAAAGGGGGAGTTCCCTTTTTTCCCGCCTTTTTCTTCTATGTGCTCTGAATGCTGTTCATGATTTACCTCATAATGTTAGTGTGTTCCTGACTATCTTGTCTGCTGTAAATATAGACGTTAAATATATTTATTTATATAAAAAGACAAGTTTGTATCAGCGTCTCTGGCTTTATTTTGACACTTCCTTAGCAATTCCTGACACTGTAAACCTAAAAATATGCATTTCTTGATTTCATGAAACATTTGTCTAAAGTTTAAACATTGAAAAATAGAGAAAATAGATTCTGTTTAATTTTATATTGAATGCTTTTTCAGCATAAGTATAAAGCAAGTACATCTTTGGTCAAAATCAGTTTAGTTGCCAACAAATCATAAGAGTTTATAAGGTAAATTAATAACTTTTGGATCAGGATGAAAAGGATGAAAAATACAATTAATTAGGTATATTGATAGCTGAATACAGTGATGAAATAGATGTATAGATAATCCTCAATTTACAATCATAATTGGGACCAGAGTTCCTTTTGCTAAGCAAGATGGTTAAGAGAGTTGTGCCTGATTTTATCACCTTTTTTGTCATGGTTATTAAGCAAATCAGTTCAATTATTAAGTGAATCTCACAATCATTAAGTGAATCTGACTTCCCCCATTGACTTTGCTGTTCAGGAAGATCACAAATGGTGATCACATGATCCTGGGAAGCTGCAATAATAGTAAATGCCTACTGCTTGCCAAGTGCCCAAATTTTGATCATTAGACAACGCTGCAATGGTTGTAACTGTGAGGATCAGTTGTAAGTCACTTTTTTGGGTGTCATTATAACTAATTTTAACTCATATGAGTTATAGTCCAAATTGTTTTGATGCCACCAAGTTGGAGAAAGCTTGCACATTGTATTTATATGATTTAATTATTTTAAATGAAAGATTCCTGAAGAAACTTCTTGACAATTTCCTCTTGAATTAATTACAATTACAGTTATTTCTTCAATTTGGGGAGTCATTACTTAACCAAAAAACAAAACAAAACAAAAAAAACCCAGGAAGAAAAGAGAACAAAACATTTTTATATGAGAATTCCTATGCATATGCACACAGATAATAAACCAACAATATCATTTTAGTTTTACACAGTTTCAGTAAAGGATGAATGTAGTACTCTGTGGATTGAAGAGCTGATTTATTTTGTGGCTTATGAATGAGCTGCTTTCAGATGCAAATTTTGTAAAGCGGTTGCAATTAAAATAACAACTATAATCCTACTGTATTTCTGCTGGCACATGCTTTTTCCAAGTTGCCAACAATTTCTTACAGCACTCCCTTTTATATCATTATATATTATATAAAAAAATTGTGTGCCAGATGTTTCTGTCACAAAAACCTTGAAAATTGTGAAAAGAAAACACTTTTTCCTTTTAAGCATTCTTTGGCTTTGTGGACTGACATGGCCACCAGTTTTTTCCTGCATATCTGCAATGCACTGGCTGATTCTGCAGTCCTAAGAACTAGGCAATGAGAATGAAGCTTCTGCAGTTGCTAATCTCTCCCTTTACATATGAACCAATTTATAAACTTTATTCAAGAGAGAGGCAATTTCTACAATCTGGCAACTGAAGCAGAGGGTTCAGAGCCCTTTCCCCCAATATATTCTTTATGATTCATGCCTCAAGCCTCATCTTTTCCAAGTTTTTTAGCATGACCCAGTGGAGTGGATTTAATTGTGTCCCCAAAGGAAAGCTTGAGCAATAACTGCATCTTTTTGAATTGGAGAAATTCCAAGTAGCTGCAGGGTACAAGTCCTTTGCGGGTGCGGAGCGGAGAGACAGAAAGAAGATTGCACTTAGATTCACTATGATTTAAAATTATGGCACCCTCCCAAAGCAGGATTCCTTGCCCAACCTGGCAGATTTTTGCCTAATGCAAAAATTATTTTTATGGGTCTGGATTTATGAGAAAAGATACCCCCTTTTACACAGAATTGTAAGTTAGGAACTGGCTGGCTGGAGACAATGCATTTGCAAATAGCAAGACTTGATAGCAAGGAACCTGTGAGATGTTTAACCCAGGAGGAAGTAGAGTCTTGAGAAATGGTTTATGCCATAGGACTGCCAGTAGGCAAGGCATAAAAAAAGTCATGATGGCAGCCACTGACATGCAATAAAAATCCTACCCACATCAGGATGTGCTTTTGATCTGCATGTTTATGTCATCTTCTCTTGACTGTGTATTCACCCCCTCTGCAAAAATCCCTGAAAAAGTCATCCATTTCTTACCCAATATTGGGAATAGAGGAATTCTATGACAGATCTGAGATCATTTCCATGTCAGAGTCATTAATGTTGTAATTACAGGTGGTCCTCAAGTTACAACCACAATTGAGCCCAACATTTCTGTTCCTAACTGAGACATTTGTTTTTTCATGACAGTTAGAACAATTAATCAGTGCAACAACTTGCCTCCAGAAATTGTAAATGCTCCAATCCTGGAAATTTTAAAGAAGAGAATGTACAACCATTTGTCTGAAATGGTATATGGTTTCCTGCCTAAGCAGGGGGTTGGACTAGAAGACTTCCAAAGGTCCCTTCCAACTCTGTTATTCTATTCTATTCTGTTCTGCTCTGCTCTGCTCTATTCTATTCTATTCAACTGTAGAGATTCTCAGTCTTCCAGGTCATGGTT